TTCAGCATTTGCCTCCTCACCAGGTTCCGGTTGTACGTCAGCGCATTCTGAGGGGTTGCGCCGACTTCGTTGGCGTCGCCGGCGGATGGCCACCCCGTCTCCGACACCCTCACCTCCACGCGGTTGAACCCCAACATGTAAATGGCGGCGAGGACCGCGTCCACCTGCGCAATGGTGGAACAAAAAATGTTAGGTTACTGAGGCTGGAGCTTAACAAATTTATTGGGGGTCAAAACTTAAAATATCACTATAATTTTCACTACATATAAAACTTATGCATGTACATATAACCAATTTTTTTTTTATTTTGGGGGCCGAGGCCCTGCCAGCCTCCCTGTCTCCACCCCTGCACCTACCTGCGCGTATAGCATGTTGTTGTACTGCAAGTTTGTGACGGGGTCCACCGTCACTGCGGCGGCGGCATTGAACAGAACGTAGTCAAGGGAGATTTTGTCGGGGGAGTCTTTGTACGCAAAATACGGGTAAGCGTTGATCCAGAACGGCGATTGTGTATCCACCAAGAACTGTATAAATTGTGTCATCACTGTCGCTAGCTCCGGCTTGAACCGCCCGCCTGACGGCGGGTATGAACTTCCCATAACCGCTAGGGAATGTGGGGACGACACCTGATCCATTATCAAGCATACATGCATCCAACCATGTTACGGACGGCCGGAGTATAATAACAATAAAATAATTATTATTATAGTAATAATAATAATTCTCTCAAATAATAATATTAATTCTCTCAAATAATAATAATAATAGTAATATTGTGGTGTCATTGAAGGTACTCGAAATGTCATGTGAGCGTGTAGTCATGACATGTTGTTTATGTATGTATATATAGGTTGTTATACAACATCCAATGACTCTCGAGTGTTCTTAGATGCAATTTCGAGAAGTGAAAATGTGTTACCAATGTCGCCAACGACCGGTAATAACTTAATTTTGCAAATTGTGCTAATAAAGTTATAAGTTCAATTAACTTTAATGAAGCGCTAATTTGTTATCGTTATTGACTTAGTTGTAGGTTATTACTATGTTGTTGATGCCGACTATCCAAATGTTCCTGGGTTTTTTTAGCCCCGTATAGTACCGTGGCAGAATACGCAGTAAGCAAGCTCTATTTAACCCTCACCATTCAACATTGCGTAAAGTGATCGAGAGTTATTTCAGAGTACTAACGGAAAGGTTTCACATCTTAAACTTAATACATGGATACCAATTGAGATGACAGGTTCAAATTCCCATAGGTTGTTGCACATTATATAATTTCATTCAAATAATGGAAGATAGGAATGATGAATTATTCACGGAGTATAAGCAAGATGATGTGATTTTTGATAACGTGACAAGTACAAGTGAAAATGAATGAATCCGGTTTGATGTGAGAGTGCCACTAGTGTTATGTGTTTTGTGTAAGACAAAGTAGAGGCTTTTACATAAATAATGTCACTTATTGAATTATCATTTATGTTAACTTTTTTGTGTCATTTCAAATGTTGAAACCACTAAGAACTGTGTTTGATCAAAGTGTTAACTCAATGTATATGTAAGTACTTTATGTTTTGTGAATTTGAAATGGAAGACAGAGAGAATTTTGGAAACATGCACACCTCCAGCGAGATGGTGGAGGATGGCGGTGGCTTCGTCGGAGGATGGCATGTTCCCAAAATTTTCTCAACTCAGGCACATATTCTACGTGATAAACAAATCACCAAGAAAATGATATCAGCTCAATGCCTCAATCAGGTCTTATATATATCCGCTCTTCTTCACAAACAACGAAAGTTAATTACAAACTATCAAAGATTATTGACCTAAGCTATATAGTATATATATACTACAATAATACTCCGCATTCCAAATAACTTTGCATAATAACAATCAAGTCAAGTTTAACGTTTTTTAACAAATTTGTAATGGGGAGAAAAGGATTAAGGAATAGAAAATCTTCTAGGCTAGTTAATCATTAGATCCTTTAATTACCAATTAGGTAATTAACAAACACATAATTATAAGTTTATAACTCAACATACATATCTACATCTGATCTATACACGGCCTCAATTCCCTTAATTAGGTTAGGGATTATATACCGCTACCGTAGGCCTTAACATGTTATATATGCAAGAGTTAAGACAAACGAAAAAAAGTTACATTTATACATGAAAGAAGTATAAGCTATTTACATGTTACCACGTTTCTCATTTAAATTAAACTTTTGTCATCTATAACTTTTCAGATTTGATAAAACTCATGACGACTAAAGTTATAATAAAATCTTATAAGTGTTATAATTTTAATATTTTTTTCAATCAAAAACATTCCCATATCATTTTTATATGTATTATTATAAGTAATTTTCAATAAAATACTCAATTGACCAAAAAGATTACATAATTACTACTCGATATGAATGGGGTTTTCTTTCATTGCGAAGAATGGCATGGCCGGCCGTAGCTACTTGATGAATCAGACCTACACCTACAGGTACCAATTTACGTACGGAGCAATATGTACTATCGTATAAGACAGCTAAATAATTTAAATAGAGGAATTCTTGGTGTACTAAATTAAAAGTGTACACAAACCTACATTCATACGTAGTAGATACTTACTTTTTTAAACGAGTTAATTAGTTGTGTAAACATGCAATTAGGTGCATACAATAAGTGTACACATTTTAATTTGTTGTGTACAAATATACTCCCTCCGTCCCGAAAAGTCATTTTGGGATAACCAAAAAAGAAAAGTGGGAAGTTGATTTGGGGACGGAGGTTATTAGAGCATTTCGAATGCTACAATGTGCATGATGCATACGTGGCATGAGAGATAACTACGTACATAAATATTACGGAGTAGCAAATAAATTATTTCTCCTTATTTGAATAGTTTATACAATTTTGGTAAGTTTTTCTTCACAATGTCAAGAAGGTGATCATTTATATGTTGACATTGCAGAGAAAAACTTACCAAAATTGTACAAACTTATTCAAATAAGAGAAGAAACATTTTATTTGCTAATGTTTATGTGACTATCTTTCTGCGAAATAGTAAGATGATTTTAAACGAGTAAGTTGTGTAAACATCCACTTAGGAAATGTTTACACTTTTTGTGGTGCACAAGTATAACTTTTTTCAAATAAATGCTTGATGACTAGATTATCGAATACCTTAATGTAAGGATCAAATCCTAGTGCTACTAGAGCGGCATGGATGTTGCGCATTGCAGGTACGAGGTAGCCCATAGATGTGGTGTCCTCGGCGGTGATGACCTCGTTGCCGACGGCGATTCCGGTGATTCTGGTGGCGGGGAAATACGGCTGAATGTTGGCGGCCACCCACTGGCTGGCTTGTTGCGCGTCGGCGCTTAATCCGGCCAGCTTCGCGTTCTCCACCGTCACGATCAGCTCAATGCCGGTGTTTGCGAATGCCGTCAAGATTTGAGGGTTGGTGTCATAGATTCTTACCTTCGTAAACTTACAAGCTTGTAAGAGTTGAACAACTCTCGCCGGCGGCAGCAAATTATCCCCAAGTTGACCATAGTTGATTCCAAGGCCTTCCACTTTTCTATGTAAACCTACAACATCCAAGAGCAAAGCATATAACAATATAGTTCGGGAAAGTTCCCGAAATAAAAATAACCTGACAGTATATATTACTGTCATGTTGGAGTCATTATTATTGTCAAAATTGTTGCAGTACTAGCATTAACATAATGCGTAGTAGTATTTATAGTCATTACTGACAATACATTTCAATCATCTCAGTAACGGCTCCTACTTCAGAAAAAAATATAACAATCATATTTTGGAATTTTTTTTGAAAAAAAAAAAATTGGAATTATAACAACATTTATAATTCCAAGCCAGCCAGTGGGTGGCCGCCAAAATTCCAAAAATTCCAAAAAAAAAAAATATAACAATCATATTTTGGAATTTCAAAACCTGTTTATTCTTATTTTGAAAAACTCAAGTTTTTTATTATTTGAATAAATGTTGTTATAAATTTATAATTATTAACAAAAACTAGGAGTTGCATATCATATACTACTATGAGCTATGTAGCACGAAAACTCTCAGAAAAGAGTACGTTTCCGTTTCTGAAACTCTATGAAAACTCTTTGGAAACTCTTCAAATCAGCGTTTTTTGAGCAAAAGTTGACGTTTCTTGTTTCCCGTTTCCTCATAATTTGCAAAATAGTATGAGGGCAAATGCACATAGTTGTACCGTGAATCAAGAGATAGAACCCAAGAAGTTGTATAACAATGGTGATTCTTCTAGGAACAACGTTCATTACGTGCAATATAGTGCTGAAAATGAAGGCCGGCAATGAATAAAATAGGAGGTTTTTGCGGCAGGAAGGCAAGAAAGAAGTGGGAAAGAAGGTTTTATAGGCCAGACGTGTATGATGGGAATTCTTTTCTTTACTTGTTCGATTATTGTCTTTATTTGATGATGTGGTAATTAGCTTCATGACTTGGCTTGCACTCCTCATGATCTTCTATTTTGATGTCATGTTCACATGGTTCACATGCCCGTTGATCACTTTTAAGGTTCCAAAGTTAATTTAACTTTTGATTAAATTGAAAAGGGTCATACAACAAGAATATATACTTAATGTGACAAGATCAAACTTATATTTAAGCAACGTAACTATACCAAATTTACAACATCTAATCTAATATTACAAGTAATTAAAGCATTTAATTTGGGCCACGTCAAATTTAAACACCATAATAATAATAATAATAATATATTTTACCGGCGTAGTAAAACTCAGCTATATCCCACGAGAAATGTCCTAGAAGCTAAGTCACTAATGGATGGCTTTGTATATTCCCAATTAAAGGCATTTAAGTTTCAAATATTCACTTTTCCAACAAAACTTGTCAAACAAACACATCTTTTTGAAGCACTTTGTCACCTCATTTCTTAAAGTCACTTTTTACGAATAGCTTTTCAAAAGCATTTTCTAAAACGGTTAACTCAACAGGGAGGCCACGTACGCCGTTCCATAGTGGCGGTCACTGGGAGGGCAAGTTGGGCGGCCTCCTGGGACCAAAAAGTGGATTTGTTTTGACCTACACTAATTGTTCTTTATAAAAAGGGATGACACCTACAACCATGAGAGACACTACCCAGAATAGATCGAACAGTTATTTGGAGGATATAAATTGAGTTTCAATTTCATTCTGATGGAAAGGGAGTGAGGCTTCATCTCAAGATATTGTTTGAAGTTGAACCTGATACTTCTCTCCTGTGGCACCTCCTTCGGACCTTCCTACCAGATGAGCTACGTCCTCTGACTCCGATAGTAATTGTTCTTTATATATGTTGTGAGGGTATGATTTTATTTTCCATTTTTCCCTGTTAGTTGTCCCAAGTGGTTAATACTTCGATCATATGTACTCTAATTTTGAGACAAATGTGCAAATACAAATTAAAATTGAGAATTTACCTTAAATAGGACTAAAAACGTTAGTAAATTCCAAAATGGGACTAATTACTGTCATGTTTTGGCAGTACCAGACTTTAAACATGACAGTATTTTCTAAACTTGACAGTAATTACTCCTATTTTGGGAATAAAAAATGACAGTCCCATTTTGGAATTTACAAACGTTTTTTATCCCATTTTAGAAACTTTCCCATTAAAATTTGTTTAAATCGTTAAAAAAAAATTGGAATTCCGAATAATCACACAAATCATAACTGTGGTTTTTTAGTAAAGCATATGTAAATTTGATAAATTCTATGGTGAACTTAGATTTTTTTAAAAATGAATACTTAGCAGACTCGGATTACAGTGTTGGTTAGATATCTTGCACGTTTTTATTTTTAGTTTTTTTCGTTATCACACTATGTCAGATTTTTACTATGTATTATAGTTTCCCTAATTTGTTTGGTCTATTCAATGTAGATTTATAAGCTTAGGGGTGCAAACGAGTCTAGCCCATCTCGAACATGAGTATGCTTGAGTTTGAGTTTGATTAAAATTCACCATTTCGAGCTTGAACTTGGACGAGTTAAATAATTCGGACTCCAACTCGAACCGAGCTTGACTCAAGCTCAACTCGGGCTCGGTTCGAGCTTGGATCAAGTTTTGCTAATTAATTTTTAAAGGTTTGACCTGGAATATGATGCTCTAACTCAATTAAGCTCGAATTTCAGCTAAAAATAAAATTTACATTTTTCAAATTATTAATATTACCTTTATACACACACAAAATAAATAATACGGAGTACCACGTACTACGTATAATATTTGTACTTGATCGTTCTCACTCGTACTTCCTTTCTCCTTCACAAACATTTTTAATCCTTATTTTAATATCAATAAATTATACTTTATAATTATTGGGAAAAGTTCAAATACAAAGAGGTCTTCACAGAACAAATCTCGTGCATTCATTTTCAGATTAAATACCTCAAAATGATGTACTATAATTGATTAAAAAAATGCGGCACGGAAAAAGTGCAATCGTTCACACTTTGTTCGGGAGCAATACTTTTTATTTGAACTCTCCTACAAACACACACACATATCAAATATGCGTCGTATATGCACAAAGGCTCACAAACCGTCTCACGAACTTGAGTCACTTGAATATGACAGAACTCGAGTGAGTTTTGCGTTGATTATGAAGTGTGTTTTGTGTTGATTGTTAGCAGCAGGCAAGAATCAGGTAAGTTGGTTCTTATTACCCGCTTCATCATTAGTGAGTCATTGTGATCATTTAAGGGCGAATGGATGTATGTTTAATCTCATGTCCTGTGACCGGCTTGAGAACATCAATCGAATATACTTCGTATATATTAACATAAGCCTTTTCTATTCAAAAAATGTTGGTTAGATATCATTAAGTTAATTCAAACGAATGTAGTATAATGTTGCTAAAATGAGGGTTAAGCTAATAAAAAGTCAAAATGGATTTAAAAAATGTTGATTGGATACAGGGACGGAGCCAGGATATGATCGAAGAGGGGGCCGAGGTTAAATTAAAAAATAATAACATACAAATACAAATTCAATAAACATTAAATAATGTATTAGTATTCATTAAAACCTCCAAAAATACATGAGTAAATTAGCACTCTACTCGTTTAATACCTGGACTCTAAAATAAGTTTGTACGATTAAATGTTTAAGATGAACACTAAAGAGCCTTAAAATGATTTTTGACAAGAAAATTAAGTTATTTTAAGCTCTCAATTTCATCTCAAAACTAAGACAATACATACTAGCTTAGCACTTTTTAAAATAATTAAGAATTCGTTAAATACACGTTCATAAATTGCAACCTTTAATTTTACTCATATAATATAAACCCAGATGCTTACTACACCTTACTAGCAAACAAGTAAACAACCGTATGTCTAATGACTTGATGCTAAAAACGGATGGTATCATGTGAAGTAGCAGTCTAAAATAAAATATTTGGGAGGGGCAATAATAAAATAAGTAATGCTAGTAATGAAAAAATAAAAAGTTGGGAGGGGCAATGGCCTCCATGAGGTTTGCTATAGGTCCGTCTGCCTATATTGTACAACCGGGTGTACGTACATCCGATTTTTAAAACTGAGTAAATCGGTTTTTTATTACCAAACTCGAACTTGGGAACTGGATTCTTTCATTAAAAAAATTAAAATGTGAGCGGGATTCGATCCCTAGAACTGGAACATAGCATGCCGCCTCCCATCCATCTCGCCATCTTGCCTGGTTGAGAAATTCTGTTGTTTGATGTTCCTTATTCTATACATTTTCATACTCCGTACTACAATTGTGTTAATATTAACTATTCTTTGCTTTTGCTCATTGTAACTATATTAAAAGACTAATTCATATTTTTGAAGTATTTATTTGATCTATGAATCATACTATTAATTTATACAAATATATTTATAATTTTATTATATATTGTTAGGTTCCTAATAAGCCTGATGCTCATCGAAAGTGTTTTAATACTCATAACATGTCTGATGCACATTAAAAGTTTATTAATACTCATTTAACAAAAATTGTGATTTTCATCTCAATAGATGAGGTTTGATTCTCTATGAATATGTTGTTATGTCAAACTAACAAACTTTACGATTTTCAAATCAAACTATTTTGTAAGTTACGTATGCTCATCTGGTACTGATCTTATGCTCATTTTCTAAATGTCATATCAATGCATTTGCTTTAAAGTACTATTTTCATAGGAGTTGATTAGAAATATAATTTAATAAGTTTTTAAAAAGGAAAAATAACAAAAAGAAAGTGAATTAGAAGTTATGAAGCAAAGATCACGATTCTGAATATTAGACTTCTAATACTCAACATAATAGATTTGATGCTCATTAACAGTTCATTAATGCTCATTTACCTGAAACCATGATTTTCATCTCAATAACGGATATTTGATGCTCAATTAAAATTTCGTGATATTAAATTGTTGAGGTTTATTCCTTCAACCCCCGGGTCCAACACGTAAGCCCAAGGATTTCGAATGGAGTGTGTGTGAGTAAACTAGCCCAAGAAGCAGATGGTATGGATTAAAGAGAACAAGAAGTAGCAAGTAATTGACTAGGTATTATTATCTCTTAATAACTCCCTAATACAATACTTTTCGCTAAGGCTCCGTCGGCCGTTCGTCTTACAAGGCAGTAGAAGTGCTGCGAGTAAGAATGCTATAGCTAGAGTGCTAAGAATAGAAAGTTGCCAACCCTTTACAATGTCATAAATGCTTCTATTTATACCCGCCAATGGGCAAGTGGCTATGCTGACGTGGAAGCCTGTGGACCGCTGGTGTCCCAACCACCAAATCTTCAGCATTAAATGCACTTCCCGCCAGAATCTAGGTTTCCCGCCTAAATAGTGGGGACGTTCGTCCGCCCGGGAAGCGAGCTGGATCGCTCCAAGTGATCCTCAAGAGGTATCGGCTGCTCGCCTCTTGGCCTTGATGGATTCTCACCATGTAGACTGGATTCCCTCCGATGACTATAGGCTTGCTCTGGGGACGTTCGTCGTCATCCCCGATGGTCCGTGGTTTTGCTCCTTGTTCCTCCATAGACGCTCGTTGAGATGGGCCGTTGGGCCTAAGCCCTATTGCAGACGTTCGTCTGATTTGAAGGGACATGGGCCTGCCGTCCACCTGTGCCCTAAGTAGATGTACGTCTGGTTGAAGGGGTGAGTGGGCCGGACCTCGACTTGGGCCATTAACCCAACATAAATTAAAAAATCTTGCGATTTTCATATCAATGTGTACTTTGTAAGTTGAACATCATGACATTTTAATTGAGCATCAACCTCCACTATTGAGATGAAAATCACGACTTCTGGAGAATGAGTAATAATGAACTTTTAATGAGCATCAGACCTATTATATTGAGTATTAGGAGTCTAATATAAAATACTCTGTAGTACTTTTAAAATGGATTGATATGACATTTATAAAATGAGCATATGATCCGTCTTAGATAATCATACTTATCAAACATCGTCTATTGAGATTGATGAAAATCATGAATTCTATTAAATGAGCATTAATGAATTGTTAATGAGCACCAGACCTATATAAATGCTTATTATATGAAAATGGTAAGGTTTGTTAGTTAAACATCATGACATTTTAATTGAGCATCAACCTCCACTATTGAGATGAAAATCACAACTTCTAGAGAATGAGTAATAATGAACTTTTAATGAGCATCAGACCTATTATATTGAGTATTAGGAGTCTAATATAAAATACTCCGTAGTACTTTTAAAATGGATTGATATGACATTTATAAAATGAGCATATGATCAGTCTCAAATGAGCATATGTATCAAACATCGTCTATTGAGATTGATGAAAATCATGAATTCTATTGAATGAGCATTAATGAATTGTTAATGAGCATCAGACCTATACAAATGAGCATATGTAATTTACAAGATGAGCATTGATATGAAAATTGCAAGTTTTATTCGTTGAGCATCAAGACATTTTCGGTGAGCATCAAACCTCCGTTATTGAGTATTAGAATCTGCAATTGAGTATCAAGATTTGTAGTCTCGTGTGTATAATCAACTCTTATATAAATCTTATGTAATATGAGACTTTTGAAATGTGCATTGCTAAAACATTTTAAAAATGAGCATAACCGAGATACTAAATGAATATGCATAATTTACAAAATGAATATTCAAAAATTCAAAAGCTTGTTTATGTATGTTCATTTTTTAGCTGTTTTACTCATTTAAGTTTAAGGTAAAACTCATTTATAATGTGCTCAGTATAATATATAAAAAAGAAAAAGTAAACAACAAATAAAGAAACGAAAAGAAGTAAAAAAGTAAAAGACAAAATAATGAAAGTAAAATAGCTAGCAGTAAAAGTAAAGAAAAAAAACAAAAAAAGAAGACAACACATTAAAACGTAACAATCAAAAATCAGAATGGATGGCGGCAGAACTGCAGAAGATAGAAAAGAAAGGAAAGACCGAAAGAGGATGGCGGAAGAAAAGAAAGGAAAGAGAACGCCGGAAGAGAAGAAAGGAAAGAGAATGCCGGAAGAGAAGAAAGGAAAGAGAATGCGGCGGAAGAAGAAAAGGATGGAACGAACATACTGATTCAGAGGCTTGAAGTTGACATATTTACAAAAATACCGGATGTACCTATACATCCGGGTGTAGGATATAAATTGCCCCCGGATTGGATATGATTAAGTTATTCAATATATATCATGTCATATATATATATATATATATATATATATATATTTTTTTTTTTTTTTTTAGTCCCGGTATTGAGCCAAACCCTTTCGGTTTTGGGGTAAGGGCCGGGGAACACCTCACCTATTTATTAGAAAGAAGAAAGTGTACAAGAGTACGAGGACTAGACCAAAGCGTACTCGGAAAATTAAAAAACATATGGATAACTAATTGCATCAAATTTTAGAATGCCAACAAAATGACTAAAATGATGAGTGTTGGTTTTAATCGAGTGATTATGATAAGCTAAAAACTCTGCAGCTCTATTGATTCGTGGGTTTATAACGGTAATAGTCCAGTTGAGATTCCTGAGTTTGGATTTTATCGTTCGGATCCGCGACCACATTTCCCAATGCTGGAGTTTTTGTCCAGTGATTCCATCATAGATGTCTTGATTTTCCACCTCCAAGACAATGTTATGTAGATTGAGATTCTGCAAATGGGGTACAATGTTAATAATCACATCATATAAAGCCTTTGTGCAGTTTGATCTGGTTATAATCTGGGTATAATGGGCGACGTAATTGCCCATGTTGTCTCGGATGAGGGCAGCAGTACAGCCTAACCCGGATGTGATTGTACGGAAAGCAAAATTAATTTTGCTAGCATTCCCGATGGGCTTGATCCAGTAATTAAGGGAGGGTCTGGTAATATTTTTTGGGGGATTGGTCTGGATGATAAAGGGAGGGGTATAACCAGTAGTGATATAAGCCTTATCAACAGATTTTGCAAAAATATCGCTTTTAATAGCATTAATTGCCTCAGAGGTTCGACCAGTTTTATCAGCATAGAGGTAGGCATTCCTGTATTTCCAAAGCTGCCAAGTGATGCTGTTAGGAACAACATGGTTAAAATCACTAATTGGGCTTTTAAAATCCATATACCAGTAGTTTAGATAGGTACTGAAGTTACCATGATGAGGAGGGTGAAAATCAAAAGCATTTTCAAAAAAGTCCCACACTCCATTACTGAAATTACAATCTAAGAAGAAATGATTTATGGTGTCTGGGTTTTTGCAAATATTCATTTGTTTAAGTTTATCCTCAAAAGGGAGGATTTTGTTTTGTAGCCTCCATAAAAAGAAAGATATTTTCTTAGGGGTACGGTTGTTCCAGATAAACTTGGCAGCCGGATTGCAGTTCATTTTTGGTCGAATCGCATCATAGGCGCTACTAAAAGTGAAAGTGCCATAACTGTTCGGTTTCCAAATGGTCTTGTCATCAGCCTCACTATAATGGATGTTCATACCATAAATTTTGTCAATGATAGGCCGGGGCAGACTATCATGTCATATATGCGCTATCTGAAATTTTAAATCCAGATTAGATCAAAATGGATTAAAAACTAAGAATGATATACGATACCAGTAACAATTCAATAAAAAGTCGTGATTGTAGTAAAAAAAAATACATGCAGTACTGTAATTAAAGAATAACGATAGCAATGTATGGATTAAAAACTAAGAATGATATACGATATCAGTAACAATTCAATAAAAAGTCGTGATTGTAGTAAAAAAAAAATACATGCAGTACTGTAATTAAAGAATAACGATAGCAATGTAGGCTATGAAGCCATTGCTATCATAATTTTGTATTGGTTGATTCTGTTCAAATTTTTGAAGTTCTAGTAATGCAGTGTTGAGTTGGCTGATTTTGCTGACTTATGAAAAAATATAATTAAAATATGTTTTATTAAAAAAATAAAGAAAAACTTATATGAAAAATAGTTAAAAATGAATCTCTACAATAATTTCAGCCAATACAGACAGAAAAATAACTCTAACTTTACTTTTCTTATTATTACACAATTCAGTGCCGAAATAAAAAATTACGTGTATGGTGAAAAAATTGACTAATAAGCCTGATAAGGCAAAAAATAAGGTAACCAAACAAGATCTATGTATCTTGTGAAATACTCCGTATAACATACGGAGTACAATTTAGTTTGTTTTTTATGATTTTTTTCAATCTTTCCTCGTCTGACCGCTCATTCAGCCAGATGTATAATATGATGTCAATATTATGATCTAATGAGATAGCTTTTGTTTGATCTGTTTTTATTATTATTAAATTAGACCGAAACATTTTCCATTTGTCTGATCTAATCCTAATTTATTACATGATCCTGATTAGAGCAGCCAATTATAGTTGTTGGCTAACTGAAAGTTGTATTATTGGTATGAAACAAATCCAGATCAGAATTTGATGATGATTTTGAATGTCAATCATTTCGTGATTTCGTCTCTACCAAATGCCAAACGAAGTGCTAAAACTCTGCATCGTGACATCCCTTCAATAGATTTGGGAGGGGCACGATACGCGCTATTGTCCTATCCCGACTCCATCACACACTCTTTTGACATGTAAGTAACTTTGTGAATGCTCCACTTCTTGTAGGGAATAGGAAATGATTTGAGTGGGAAAAAGATACGTGCTATCTCATCCATCTTCTAGCCCCTCCAACATGGGCTCAACAATTTATATTCACTATCCAACAACATAAATCCTCACATTATAGATCGATTCATGTTGCTTCATGTTGGACCGACTCCGAAATCTTTTGAGAATAAGGTAAAGACACTATTATTCTTTATTGGATGAAATTAAATTGAAGTGATCCATTGATAGACTCTAAGCAGCGACAAACGCAGAAATTTCTGAGTGAAGGGTGAAATTATAAGCATATACTAATTCATATACCTTAAAAATTTGGAGTAATTATATCTAATTAAAAACGGGATAGGATGCACTTATCCCATTTGTATTTGCCGATTTATGCAGGGTGTCACCAGGGTGAACAATTTTATGATAATACTTATACTATTGAATTCAATTGCAATTACAATATACTCCGTATTTGATAGATTATAGTGTATATCAGTATATCTTATAGTACTCCGTAGTATTTACATCAGTACTTTGCATGTTAAAAATTGAGGTACTATATTGTGCGGTTGTGCCTCTCATTCTTGCTTAGGGACGATGCTAATCTTTTTTATTTCTTTCCATTTTTATCGGGTTTCCCCAAAGGAACTTTGAGGCACTGTATTGTAAAGTTACACGAGGGAATCCTTAGTCACCAATTTTACACTGATATTTTGCAATGAAAATGGATGATTGGAGATGAGGTAAAGCTCCATACGCTCATTTGTTTCTGCAGGTAAATCAACTATGGTTTCGTAACAATTTCGATAACTATACCATGTTATAAAATACTTGTACACAATAAATTGTTTAAGTTTTGACCTATGTTCTCAAAATCATACCGGATAAGGACCCATACAAGCTAGCCGGATGGTCATCATCATCACCATCAATTAAACAAATATGTGCATCATAATTTTGCATCTTATTATGCGATCAAATGCTACAATATATGAAACTAGATTCTTTACCTGTGCGTTGCACGGGATGCATATGTTATATGTTTAACTATGTCATTAGATGACAACGGGAATCTAATGAATAGTTTAACTAACTCGGATTTACATATGTTAAAAATTTGGGATGAATTTTTCAGAGCACAAAGTTCGATAAAGTTGGGATCACTTCTTATTAACAAAAATACTTGTCATTAGATATATAAATATTTTGTTAGGTATTTGTGTTTATAGAATATAATTACAAAGGATCCAAGCAATTGAAGAACACTAAAAATGTTACCGATCAATCTTTTGTAAACATCCAATAAGCAAAAATATTAATTGATAGTGTAGCTTTAAAAATCAAAATTTTCACATTATAATTATTAATTGTTAATTATTAATTTACATATTATTGTTTAGAGAAACTGAGTATGAAATCATTAAATGTCTGATTGTAGGGAAACACAAGCCACACCATGTTATTTTATATTATTATAGAAGACTATTATTATTATTATTATTATTATTATTATTATTATTATTATTATTATTATTATTATTATTATTATTATTATTATTATTATTATTATTATTATTATTATTATTATTATTATTATTATTATTATTATTATTATTATTATTATTATTATTATTATTATTATTATTATTATTATTATTATTATTATTATTATTATTATTATTATTATTATTATTATTATTATTATTATTATTATTATTATTGTTGTTGTTGTTGTTGTTGTTGTTGTTGTTGTTGTTGTTGTTGTTGTTGTTGTTGTTGTTGTTGTTGTTGTTGTTGTTGTTGTTGTTGTTGTTGTTGTTGTTGTTGTTGTTGTTGTTGTTGTTGTTGTTGTTGTTGTTGTTGTTGTTGTTGTTGTTGTTGTTGTTGTTGTTGTTGTTGTTGTTGTTGTTGTTGTTGTTGTTGTTGTTGTTGTTGTTGTTGTTGTTGTTGTTGTTGTTGTTGTTGTTGTTGTTGTTGTTGTTGTTGTTGTTGTTGTTGTTGTTGTTGTTGTTGTTGTTGTTGTTGTTGTTGTTGTTGTTGTTGTTGTTGTTGTTGTTGTTGTTGTTGTTGTTGTTGTTGTTGTTGTTGTTGTTGTTGTTGTTGTTGTTGTTGTTGTTGTTGTTGTTGTTGTTGTTGTTGTTGTTGTTGTTGTTGTTGTTGTTGTTGTTGTTGTTGTTGTTGTTGTTGTTGTTGTTGTTGTTGTTGTTGTTGTTGTTGTTGTTGTTGTTGTTGTTGTTGTTATTATTATTATTATTATTATTATTATTATTATTATTATTATTATTATTATTATTATTATTATTATTATTATTATTATTATTATTATTATTATTATTATTATTATTATTATTATTATTATTATTATTATTATTATTATTATTATTATTATTATTATTATTATTATTATTATTATTATTATTATTATTATTATTATTATTATTATTATTATTATTATTATTATTATTATTATTATTATTATTATTATTATTATTATTATTATTATTATTATTATTATTATTATTATTATTATTATTATTATTATTATTATTATTATTATTATTATTATTATTATTATTATTATTATTATTATTATTATTATTATTATTATTATTATTATTATTATTATTATTATTATTATTATTATTATTATTATTATTATTATTATTATTATTATTATTATTATTATTATTATTATTATTATTATTATTATTATTATTATTATATTATTAATAATAATAATTTATTATACCTTGTTACTTTATATTATTAACACTTGTTTATATTATTATTAAATGTCCAATTAGACCATGTTT